AAACACTGACTTTGGTAAGTCCCTGCTAAAAACATGTTAATTACTTGAGGCCGTGGCTAGGTTGTTGGAGTGTACAAATTCTTATAAGGGCCTATTTTCTAGATATACTCGATTTCGGGCCCCCTATTTTTATGTTTTTAATGGCAACAACTGATATATACTCGATTTCGGGGCCCCTATTTTTATGCTTCTTAATGACAACAACTGATAGATATATTTGATTTCGGGTCCCTATTTTTATGCTTCTTAATGACAATAATTGATAGATATACTCGATATTCGGGCCCTTATTTTTATGCTTCTTAATGGCAACAACGGATAGATATACTCGATTTTGAGGCCCATATTTTTTGGGGGCCTGCGCGGTCGCGCACTTTGCACGCCCTCATCCACGCCCCTGAATTACTTGCATATACTTGCACACGCTCTCTATAGTTGGCGCTCTCCTAAAAATTTTAAATTTTTTTTTTACATTTTCAGTTGATAATCTCTTAAATTTTTGTAAATTGAACTTTTACTATGAAACCTTACGTCTATCCTAATCAAGAATATTCAGTCCCAGTGGTGGATGCAATGTTAATCCTGGAATCCGAATTTTTTTATATTAGTTGTTCATTTTATTATTGGTGCTCACCCTGAAATTTTATTTGTGTTCACTTTATACTAAAAGTTCTTATAATTAATATATGTATGTCCACACTTCAAAATATTCCTAGATCCGCTACTGTTCGTCCCGTGACCTACATCGTGGGTTTAGATTGCGGAGATAGTCTACTTATCATATCATATGTGAATGTATGACAGTATCAATCTATATAATAAACCTTTTATTTTTTGGGTTACTATAGGAAAGGAGGTGAATGATGAGATTAAGAGAAATTTGATCAATGTAGACCCATCACCGGTACATGGACATGGTGATATTCCTAAGCCTAACAGACCTCATAATAGCAAGAAGGCGAAGTTTACTGGCGCAGTCGAAACCCAGGATCATGATTAATGCTCAGTGAATCTAATAATAAAGTGTATTTATCACGATCATGTTCTTCTCATATATTTTTCCTTCGTGTCACATTTTAATTGGCTTTTTAATATAGTCATATAATGTATAAAATTACTAGTTCCGCAAGAATCAAATGATTTCGGTGATAAAAAATTGTTGTTATTCCTTGAGGTCTCGAGTTCGAACACCATAAGTACTAGTAGTGTGAGCGTTCAATGTCAAATAATTGTCGGAATACATAGTCTTAATAGTGAACAACCTTTCATCTCATCAAGAATGAAGTCTAATTTTGAATACTAGCAAAAAAGAATATGTCGAACGTAAAAAAGGATATGAAATTGTAAGTTAATATAAAACATTAATTTCACTTTGACCCTCCAAAAGTTTAAACTTCGATTTTAGTCCCCCGAAATTGTTCTAGAATGCCACGATATCTAAACTGTTCAACATGGTGGCTTAAAGAACATAACTTCAATGGAAATAATATATATTATATGTAAATCTCTGCAGTCGAAAGTTGGAAAACATGGCTGCTTCCAATCAGGAATTGACCAAAACCACAAATCTGATCAAACTTTGTTCTTTATGTATGATTGGAGATTAAGGCAAACCCAAAAAATATCCCTTTCTCCTTCAAAACGATCATTAACCATATCAGAAAACATTTTCTCAGCAACCAAACACAATATATATATATATATATATATATATATATATATATATTTGAATCTGGTCGTTATAAATATATTATTTTTGTTTTATTTTTTCTGGCCTTCGTTATATTGTAAAGTAAATACTGAGTGTTGTAATCAAAACACCAAAAACTGGTCTTGGTGCAGCTGTTCAATCTGTTGCTTTGCCTCCTTGGACACTTGAGTTCGTCTCCCCACCAAAGCCTTTCTATTCAATTTATTTTCCTTTCTTAAGGTGATGTCACGTGTCACCACATGATTGGAAAAAGAAAATATTTGAATTAAATATAAATTAAATAAAAAAGTCTCCCAATAATATTGTGCCACGTGTCTTCATACTATTAGAAGATTAAATATATTGAATTAATTTGAAATTATGACCAATTTGATAGATTGTGTAAGTAATAAGGACTAAATGTAAATTATACCAATTTTATTAACTGTCTCGTCAGTATTTCGGTTAACCGTTAACGGCTAGTGACCTAATTGAATGTATTTAAATAATTGAATGGTCTGATTGCCAATAATTCAAAAATTGTGGTAGAAGTGAAAAGAAGCTATCGTTGGGTGGTCTCTAGTATAGTTTACCCATAAATTTAATAGTTGAACCTTAAGTTTTGTTCGTGATATAGTTTTGTTCTGGTATATCACGTACGTAAACCTGTAAGAAATCTTGTTCGTACTTAGTAGGCAGGGACGGAGCTCCCTTAGAACCTAAGGGTTCCTATTCTTGTTAAAATTTATTTATTTGATATAATTTTAGTTTAATAGTATTTTAGTTTATGTAAAAAAATATTTAAATTTAAAAATATAAAAATTTATTAAATATTTAATCAAGTAGGAGTCGAACTAAAGAATGATAAGTCCGTGTTCTCAAATTTTTGGTCTAATACAATTTAAGTCATTGTAAGTTTAATATTACCAATTAGAAGTTTTTTAAGTTTTGAGTTTTGATTTTTTTTTAAAATTTAGGGTGAATACAAGGTAATATATATAAAGAATTTCAACTATTTAACAATGAACGGTCATACCCCTACGTACGTGCTTGAACTCGGGACCTCAAAGATAACAACAATCTCTTAATCACTAAGGTCGCTTGGTTCATGCTGAATTTCGAGTTTAAATACTTAATAAGTCTTTATATTTTTCTTGAATAGTATAATATTTCGGTATCTACCCATATTTAATTCTGATTTCGTCTCTATTAGTGCTTGAAATATGGTTCTCTCATGTTCTCAAAGAGTGAAAGTAAATAAGTGTTTATTACTCAATAAAAGTTCGTTTATATTTATCTACTAATTAAAATATAAAAAGTAATAAATAAAGTTGCGTAGTAACCGTTAAGTAATTTAATAATTTGACACGGACCTTAAACCACAACGAAGATAATACGCCGAATACCTTTCGTTGTTGTGTTTGACTATTGTCACATTCGATTTTTTAATAGTCTAACGTGCTTATAAGATATATATTTAAAATTCTTTTTAATAATTAATAATATATATCTTGCAAATGCAGCTTTTTAAACCTATAATCTCGAGAAAAAAAATATTTTCATTAACCACTAAGACCACTTACTGGATTCTATTATCGGATACGATTTACTTATTTATCTTCAATATATAATAAATGAGGAAAAATAGAGATGGCGTTGAGTAAACTATTGACTGAGAAAGTTTGTTAATTAGCATTAGTCGGATAATTATGGTGCATCGAGTCAAAGTCTTTGATTTAGAAGACTTTAATTCTATATATATACACATGAGGCATGACTCATTGACATTGGCTAAAGTTTTTAGTTTTATAATTTTGAGATCATCAAATGAGCGAAAATAGACGATTAAGATTAACATTAGGAAAAAGAGTAAGGATATAATCTCAGTCGTTTATTTCACTCATCTGACAATCTTAAAATATGTAAAATTAAAAGATTTTACATTGTATAAATGATCATAACTTTTATATATATATATATATATATATCAAATCTCTGCGGTCATAGTTGCTATGAGTATTCAAACCAGCTCCTCACGCGGAATTGACCAAAAAAAAGACAAATATTATGATATATTTATGCTTGGAGATGAAGGTAACCCAATAAATAGTCCTTTTCTCCTTCAAAACATTCACCCGGAAATAAATTTTCTCAACCAAACATGGGTTGTAGGATAAACCCTATTCTTTATGTACTTGTTTTACTGTTATCAATTTCACTGCTGTTGCCTCTCTCTTCATGCAGAAACACTGTCTTTGGTAAGTCCCTGCTAAAACCTTGTTAATTACTTGCATAGACCAATCTACATGATTAAACCTTTTATTTTTATAGGAAGGAAGTTGAAGGAGGAGATTAAGAGAAATTTGATAGGTGTAGACCCACCACCAGACCATGGACCTGGTGGTGCTGGTCATTAAAGGTCTCCTAATACAGTGGCAGATGCATGTATACTCTAGGGTGGGTATGTGGTCAATCCTGAAACCTGAATTTCTTTATGTTTGTTGTTCATTTTATTGATGGTCCGCCGACTTACGATACTTTTATATTAAGTCCCTCAACTATTAAAAGTTATAAAATGGTCCTTCGAATATGGAGTGTTACTTTATTGAGTCCATCGACTATTAAAAATTACAAAATGGTCACCTCAACTATTCATTATGTTCTAGACCTATCATTTTCCGTTAAAAAATTAGTGGTTGTTTAAGTTGGACGTTAACATGATGACTAAGATGTGATAGTCATTTGAGATTCTAGGATCAAACTTTTATCATATAGTCAACAAGTTTACGTTCAACTCACAATATCATCCATTTTTTAACGAAAAAGGACGAGTTTGGAATATAATGAAAAGTTTGGTGATTGTTTTTGTAACTTTTAATAATTGAAGGACTTAAGAAAACAACTTTTTATAGTCAAAGAACCATTTTATAACTTTTAATAGTCGAGAGGCTTAATAAAACAGTTTGTTATAGTTGGGGGACCATTTGCCTTCTATACCCATTTTTCTTTTGTATTACATTTTGTAAAACAAATCCTAACTAGAAAAGGGGAGGGGAATTTTACTCCTAATTATACAAGAATTCTATGTTTTCTCTTGTATCTTGTCAAAGTCATCATTGTCATTTGTCATTTTACTCTAATTTCACTTTGACCCTCCAAAAATCTAAATTTCGATTTTTGTCCCAAAAAGTGGTCTAGAATGTCACTGATACCTAAAATATAGTAGAAATTTTAGTATTATTTGATAGGTGTTGCTTCAATCACAAAAGGAATAGATTTATATTAAATATTCTAACAGCAAATCAGTAATTCATTCAATATTGAAATACCATTCCTGAGACAGATATTTATAATTTAGCCAATAAATTAACCCACTGATGAACATTTGAGTCCCCGGGGTATTCAAAAATTAAAAAATGATTCCTAATAAAACCAGCAAAAGAAAATAGTCGACGTACAAATACAAGGCAGAATAAATATAAAAAATCCATTTGGTGTACGAGGAGCCGAAATGCAGCTTTTCGATCGAGCTTGTCGGAATTTCGTATTTGTGTAGAACGACAACATCCCCCTCCCCGGAAACTGCTCGGTTCACGGCTCATCAGGTTGTTCCGATCTTCTGCGGCTGTTGAACATAGATGCAATGCAACAGAGTTAATGATACATTTCCATTGCAGAGGCAAGGACTTGGACGAGATACTATTTCTTGGGTATTCACAGGGGTCTAATAATCCTAAATTGAGCTTGAGATGGAAGAAATCCGACCTCGACTCAAAATTTAAGTTAAAACTCGGTTCGAGTTTAACTTGAATTCAGCTGGTCAACTCGAAAATAATTGAGTCAAATTCGATTATTTTCGAGTTGAATATGAGTAATTTGCAAACATGATGTCTCATTTATACTCGAAAGTGTGCGTACCTTCTTTAAATTGACTTTATTGCTCGGCACTGCCGGTTTCAATATCTCGAAAGAGCACACAAGAGCTTCATCGATACTCAATAGAGCACCAGCGTTGTCAAAATCTCCACCATAGTTTGGAGCTGAAAATATTGTTACTAATTTCCTATTAGCAAAAAACTCGTACCCATCCTCCACAACCTGCAATCAAAAACTTTAGATTAATCCGAACCCGAACAAATTCGACGATATAAACTATAAGTACTCGTATCTAAGATTCGGATTTCAGTATCTACAATCCCTTCCTTTATCCAAATGCAAAGAGAAACTAGCTTACTTGATCCACACGCTAACTTAGACCTATTTGATGCTGAAATTCAATAGTCAAGAAAAGAAATCAGCTTACCTGATGACCACGGCAGATGAGATCGAGGTCGTTCTTCTCCAAAAACGAAGCGACAATATCGGCACCGAAAGTGCACGAGATGCCTCGATCGCTATCCCCCCAACCCTCGACGTTCGGATTAGGGTCGGACCAGAGTAGGTCACATAGAAGACCACCGTCGGGAACTTCCGTCGGCCTCTCGATCTCCTTGATCTGATCCAAATTTTCCAAATCCGGCGACAACCCGCCGTGCATACAAAGTACCTTATCATCGATGAGTGCAGCCACAGGCAAATTGTTGAAGCAATTGGTGAATAGTTTCCAAAGACTAACGTTGAATCTCCTTTTGCACTCATCATAAAACCCATAAATCCGGTTCACCTTGGCGTCTTCATGGTTCCCTCTTAAGAGAAAAATCCGGTCCGGGTATCTGATTTTATAGGCCAAAAGCAAGCATATTGTCTCCAAGCTTTGCTTGCCCCGGTCTACGTAATCCCCAAGGAACAAATAGTTTGCATCCGGTGGGTACCCACCGAATTCGAATACCCTCAAGAGATCTTGGTATTGTCCATGAATATCACCTATAAACAAAATAACTATGATAATAATATATTCGAACGGATAAAAGAGACGTAAGATTTTATGCTATGGACAAATAAAGAAAGTTTTAGAAAATACAAACTTATAAAATTTTAGGGATAAAAACATGTTGTCAATAGAAAATTTAAAATTTTCAGAAGGGCAACAGAGCGATCCATCTTTGACTACAAAATATGATCAGACCGTAACCAAAAAAATCTAATTTAAATAAAAAAAATAAATTAAATAAGGTCTAATATTAAAATTAATGATTTAACCTTTCTACTTTAATTTTCGATTAGTTTGTTCCTCTATATTTGTAACATATCAAAGAAAATGAATTGTGGATTGATGCGTGAGATTAGTCTATTTATGGTGGACATGTTGATATTGTGATTCAATCTCTTTTTTCTTATAAAAGTAAACTACATTTAGTTATTTATGGGTTTGATAATAAACAAACCATCTTCTTTTAAAAAAAAATTACAAATAGATCATTTAATTATAGGGTAAATATGCAAATGGTCTCTCGATATTGTTTTATTAAGTCACTCGATTATTAGGCATGTAAATGAACCAAACGAACACAAACGGGGATGTGTTCATGTTCGTTCATTTAATTTTAACCGAACAAATGAACGACCACGAACATAAACGAACAAAAAATTTATTGTTCATGTTTGTTTGTTAAGGAATGTAGTTTGTTCGTGTTCGTTCATTTAAACGATAAACGAACGGATGTAATCGAACATAAGCGAACAAAAAAAAATGAACGTAAACGAACACAATAAGTGAACATAAACGAACATAAATGAAAAAATATTTTTTTTTCTTTTCTAACAATTTTAGGATTATATTATATTTTATTGTTTTGGATATTTTTATTTGTATTTAAAATTAACAGAATTTTAAAAATATTTATGGGTATCATATTAAAATTTATTGGGCTTCAATATTTTAAATGGGTCTATAGATATTGGGCTTTAATATTTTAAATGGGTCTATAGAGATTAGGCTAAACATAAATGAACACACATAAACGAACGAACATAAACAAACATAAATGAACATATTATCGAACGTTCACGAACGTAAATGAACAAACGAATCCTCTGTTCATATTCGTTCATTTAATTAAACAAACACAAAATCTTGTTCATGTTCGTTCGTTTAATAAATACACAAATATAAACGAACTTTCAGCCGAACATTTCGCTAAACGTTATGTTCTAAACTCGTCATTTTTCATTAAAAAATGAAAGTATTATTAGCTAAATATTATATGCTGATTGTGATATGATAAAATCTTATCTCCAAATCTCAAACAACTGTAATATCTCAATCATCATAAGTTCAATTTAGACAGCTATCAATTTTTTAAAGAAAGTTTGGAACATAACGAGCATCCACCTAATCTCAAAATGAACTTCAACTATCCCAAATTCACCCCATCAATGCGATTCTTTTGCAATTTCAGTAAATCATACAATTCAAACGCAAAAACCAAAGAAAACCCTAGAATCAGCCATACAAATCAATGAAAAAAAGGGGAAAGAAAAGAAAACTAACCGCAGATTCTAATAGGAGCACTGATCCGAAGAAGATTAGGCTGAGAGATGAAGATTTGTTTAGCATTAATACAAAGCTGACGAATCTCCCCTTCAGAAAGCTTAACCTGTTTCCCTCCTTTCCCTTCCAACAATCTTCGTATTATATCATCCAAAACTCCCGTATCCATCATTCCCTCTATCGTCATCATCACCTCTTCTTCTTCAAAAACCCACCAATACCAAATTTCCTCTGCAAATTGTAGCTGATTTCACCTGATTTTATTCTCCATTTTCACGAATAATGGATAATGAATAATGGGTATTTGATGATTTATCAAAGGGGCTCGAAAGTATTTAGATCGAGAGAAAAGAAAATGAGGATTAAAAGCAACTAGATGATGGATGAAATTTAGAGTAATTCATGGAAAGTTTGTTGTTGTTAGTTTTTCTCTTTCAATGATCCTTTTTTATTATTATTTATTTTAGTAAATTTTTATCTCTATCTAAAATATAAGGATTCTTTTTAATTTTATCTACATGCTAAGAAAAGATTGAAAATGGCCGATTCCATTAGTTTGAAACCTTCAAAACTTTATAGGCACATTTGTGGTTATTACATGGCAATTTACAATCATTTTTAAAGGTTTGTCTAATCTATAAAAGGGTATTGGAAAAAATGGATAAAGTATACAAATAGTCCCTCGATTATAGGGTACTGCTTTATTAAGTCCTTCGACTATTAAAAGTTACAAAATAATCCTCCGACTATAGAGTTTGGTTTATTGAGTCCCTTGATTATTAAAAGTTACGAATGGTCACATGACTATTCACTATGTTCTAAACCCGTCCTTTTCTGTTAAAAATTGATTGTATTATGAGTTGAACATTAACCTAGTGAGTGTGATATGATAAAATTTGATCCCAGAATCTAGAACGACTTTCATATCTCAACCATCATGTTAACGCCCAGCTTAGACAGCTGCCAATTTTATGATGAAAAATGACGAGTTTGGAACATAATAAATAGTCGAGTGACCATTTTGTAACTTTTAATAATTGATGAACTTAAAAAGTCAGCCACATTCTATAGTCGGAGGACCATTTTGTAACTTTTTGTTAGGTATGGCTAATATACCAATTGGAGGACAGATGTTGGAGCGGAGTTGAGAGGCGTTAGCGAACCTCGTTAAATCTTGTGTTCTTTATTTGATTTATTGCTTGTTGATTTCCTAAGTTAATTAGCCCGTTTTCACAATAATTGGTATTAAGAACAAGGTTTGAGATAGCTATGTCAGGTGCAAAATTCCAAGTGGTGAAGTTTAACGGTCATGGTAATTTCGGATTATGGCAAATGAGGGTAAAGGATTTGTTGGCGCAGTAAGGGATTTTGAAGGCTCTACGGCCTCAAAAGCCAGAATCGATGACGGAAAATGATTGGGAAGAACTGCAGCAACGAGCGGCAGGAACCAATCGGTTATGTTCGGAAGACGAGGTTATATATCACGTAATGAGTCTGTTGTCTCCAGGATAAATATGGAAGAAATAGGAAAGCCAATTTATGTCCAAATCCCTAACGAATAAAATGTAACTAAAGTAGAGGATGTATAGGTTGAAGATGCAGGAAGGTCATCATTTGGCGGAGCATGTGAATGTCTTTAATCAAATAATTACATATTTGGTTCAACTTGATTTGAAGATTGAGGATGAAGACAGAATAATGATTATGTTGTGTTCATTGCCTTCTTTTTACGAACACATGGTGATTACTCTTACATATGGGAAAGAAACAATCAATGTTGAAGAGATTATTGCAGCCTTGTTGGCTCACAACCAGCGGAAGCAGAATGCAAGGGAAATCTCTCATGCTAATAGTTTATATATTAAGGGTAATCAAGACCATGGAAGAAAATTAGAGAATAAGGGGTCTGGAAAAAAATTCCAGATCAAAGTCTAGGGGCAAAAAGACAATTCATTGCTACAAGTACAAGGAGCCGGGACATATGAAGAGAGATTGTACAAAGTGAAAAAAAAAGATTGATGAGAAACGTGATGAATCATCCAAGTATGTGAATGTGGTGCAGGATGACAATTCAAATTGCAGTGATGGTGATATGCTTTCTAATTCGAAAACTCAGTTGACGGATGCGTGGATTCTTGATTCAGGATGTTCTTATCATATAATGCCTAACAGGGAGTGGTTTTCGACATATAGGTCCGTTAATTATGGTTCTGTCTAATTGGGTAATGACAGATGTTGTAATATTGTTTGTATTGGTTTGAGACTGAATGCAGGGCTTCCTAAAAGCTTCCGGCCAGAGGCTGTGAGCATGACATGCTACCTCATTAACAGATCACCTAGAGCATCATTGGGTGGCAAGGTTGCAGAAGATGTATGGACAAGTAATGCAATTGATTTTGGTCACTTACGAATTTTGGTTGTCCTGCTTATGTGTATATATTTGGTGATGAGAGATCAAAGTTTGATGCAAAGTTGAAAGAGTGCATTTTTATAAGGTACAAGAAAGGTGTAAAAGGATACAAGTTTTGGGATCCGATTGCAAAGAAAGTGGTGCTCGGTAAAGATGTGGTCTTTGATGAGCAATTCATCTTACAACAGAACCAAGACAAGGCAATGATGGATGTAGAACAATATCTAGTAGTAGATGAGAGAGATGAAAGTTTTGGCCGACTATAAAACACAATCAAAATAGGGTAATCTTCTAGGTGAAACAGTTTGGAAATTATACCTCAGTAGTGGACTAATGGCATCATCAATTTTTAGAACCATAAAAATTCAATTGGTTTATCATCAGTTTCATTTCCCCCATGTAGAAAATCTAGAGCCATAAGATTTGAATTTGATGACCCTGACCATACCCAAAACCCACGATCGAGTAAAATCCAAGACCACCATATTCAAAGAAAATGAAGAGAAAACAAAGTCAAGAGGGAGAGAAGAGGGAAAGCTTACCTTCTTGGGTTCTTAAGTTGGTGACGGTTGGAGCATTTGTCGGTGAATCGAAATGGTAGATAAGGAGCCTAAGTCGAAGAGAGGAACATTGCGTGATTTCAATCTCATCTGACGATGAAAACGTGGATCCAACAAGTAAAGAGACTAACTCTTCAATCTAGTTTTGCTTGTCCTTATTCATGTTTCGGAAGATTCGTCCGGATGGGAGACAAGAGAAGGTGTTGTGGGTAATTTTACAATAGAAATGAAACATAAATTTTCAAATATTACCTTAATTAAAATAAAAAAATTAGCTGACCCTATTCCCATATGTAATGGGATAAGGGGAGGTAGGGTAGTAGGCTGCCCCCAACGCCAGGTTGAGAGCAGCTTCCGTGAAAGATCACCGTTATGAATTGCCCTCAGTGGGACTCGATCCCACGACCACAAGGTTCTTAACCTTATGCTCTACCAACTGAGCTAGATGGGTATGGTCATTAAATGCTGATATGTCTTTTTAGTATAAATATATGTGGGGTTGCATCAAATGATAAGATTCCATGCAGAAGAAACATTAGTTGTTGCAATTAATTTCATATTCCTATTTCTTAAAATACACAAGATAGAATATATATATATATATATATATATATTTTAACACATTTGTTAACATTCTATATCTATAAAAATATAAAATATTTTAAATATGATTATGAGTCGGAACTTGATAGGTTAAGGTCCCTTGTCTATCCCTAATTATGATGAAAGTAACTCTAACCCCTCAATTATAAGATATTGTTTTGTTCAGTCCCCCAACTATTAGAAGTTAAAAATGGTCTCTAAATATAAAATGATATTTGTTCGAGTCCCCTGACTATTTAAAGTTAGAAAATAGTCACCAACTATTCATATGTTCTTAACTTATCCTTTTTCAATGAAAAAATGACAAAAACTAGACATTAACCTACTGACTCAAATATGATAAAATCATATTTTAATGATGTGTATTGGCAGCGTCGTTGCTTTCAAGCACTGACTCGACAACATAATGTTTCAAACAACAAATATTGTCCCGACGAAATAATGTAAACAGAGAGTCGATCCACAAAATACAACTCAAACAGTTTTGGGATCAAATTTTATCAAATTTTAACAGAAAATGACGAGTTTGTAACATATAAATAGTTGAGTGACTATTTTCACTTTTAATAGACGGATGACACAAAAAAAAGGGACCTAGAGTCAGAACTATTTTGCAACTTTTAATAGTTAGGGGACTCAATGAAGCAAAACCCTATAATAAGAGGACCATTTATATACTTTACCCAAAATAGTAATTAAGAGCATGGCAGTTAAATAGTAATTAAGAAAAAATTATATCCAAAGCGGTCCTTTTCATTAAGTCGGGGAACCTTGGCACCCCAATGTTTTGGTAAATTTGAATTATACCTCTTTATTTTTTAAGAAATTTTAACTAGATCCCCCAAAATTTGCTAGAAGTTCTCATGAAATCTTAATTTTTTTTATATATTTTTAACTAACCTCTTGAAATTGTTAAAAATCATTAAATCTCCCATAACTTTAAAAAAATTATAATTTGACCCTCAATTTTTTAAAACAGTTCTCATTAAATCCCTCAATTAAAAAAAAACTGATTAGACCTCAGAAAATAAAATATTTTGATTAGCCCTTCAAACTATCACATCAAGATCGGTCACTCAATTCCGATAAGGTAATTGGGAGGGGTAAGATAAAATATTAAAAGATTATTTGAGATATATATTAAGCTTTTTTGTTATTTTATTTTCATTTTAACCCTCACAATTTTTGTAATAACACGATTGCATCAACAAGCTGCTAAAACCTATCAACTATCCTCATTGCTGCATTGGAAAGTTCTTCATAACCCCTCATATCATAAACCATCGCAGCATGGGTGACATGACGATTCTCCAAAGCTCTCCTGCACTTCACCTCTTGTACAAGCGCCTGTTTTACGAGGCTGTTCGTCCCGTTGTAATCTTTATTCATCAGTAGGTCCGTCGCGTTGGTCAGATTAATTTGCGCTTCGAAAAATCCGGTTGCGCAGTTCAGTAACATCTGCTTCACGTCCTCTTCGAAGTCGTACTTAGTTAAGTCTATCATGTTGGCCGATTGGACCTCGGCACTATGGATTAGACAAGATAGGACGATGGTCGCGATGCCTACTTTATCGGCCGACTCGCCTCGGGGATCGGATTTTACGCATCGGATACAAGTCGCGGGGTTATCTGCGTTGTGGCATTCGGATTGGATCAGGGCTTCGTCGGCGGAAACTAGGTTTCGATGTCCGACGTGGTTGAAGGAGATGGAAAGAAGAAAAAGAATGAGAGTGTAAAGAGGCAAAGCAATTCCCATTGATGCTTTTGTCAAGTTCATATGAAGCTCTATTGATATCAGTCTCTATATATATTGAGAGGAAATGAGTCCACTAGCGAATTTTATATTTTTGGTAAGTTTTTTATGGTAATATATTAATTTCTTTTTTATCTTAAAACAGTGAATTAATAAATAATTAACTAATAATATATACCTTAATTAATAGGGCTATAAACGAACACGAACGAGGGTATGTTCATGTTCGTTCGTTTATTCGGTGAAAGTTAAACGAACGAACATGAACATACCCTCGTTCGTGTTCGTTTATAGGACTATTAATTAAGGTATATATTATTAGTTAATTATTTATTAATTCACTGTTTTAAGAGAAAAATAACTTAATATATTACCATAAAAACCTTACCAAAATATATGAACGAACATGAACAACTAAACAAACGGAATTTCTTGTTCGTGTTCGTTCATATTCATTCGTTAAAATGATAAATGAACACAAATGAACGAACGCAAACGAACGGATATAAACGAATGAACATAAAATTAATTGAGTTTATATTTGAGAAGAGCTTTTTTCTTTCCAAATAATTTTAGGATTTATGTTTTCTTTAATTGATTTGAGTATTTTTTTTATTTGAGTTTAAAAATATTAATGGATTTTAGGTTAAAATTTATTAAGTCTTAATATTTCAAACGCTTATGAAGAACATGAACGAACATAAATAAATGAATATAAATGAACAAACATAAACAAATGGGTTATCGAACGTTCACGAACTTAAATGAACCTAAACGAACGAACAAGCATTTTATTCATGTTCGTTCATTTAATTAAACGAACAAGCCTATTAATTAATGTCACTAGATGCATTTATTTTCAAGTATATATATATATATATATATATATATGTTGGGTTGCACCAATCAATATCCCCTTTTTATATGATTTTAAAAAATAACATAATACGAAATGAATTAGGACTAAGTAATGAAATCGAGACAATAACATAATACGAAATGAATTAGGACTAAATAATGAAATTGAGAAAATCAAAAAATTGATTCGAACTAAACTATACGATTCAATTCGATTCAAATTTTTATCTTGTTATTTAATTTCGATTCGGTTTAAAAATGTTATTTTATAAACACGATTAAAATTGTATTTAATTGTTACAATATAATTTTAAAAATAGGAGCGAAAGAAATTTTATTAGAAATTTGGTAAATAAATAAACATGATTTTAATTGTTTATTGTTTTAGAGATTATATAAAAGTATAAAAGATCTAAAAAATATTATAATAATATTTAGAGTACTTAAACTATTAGTTTTGTCCATTTTAATACTTAAACTTTTATTTTTTCAAAAATATACATAACATTTAGTTTCTATTTCATTTTAGTACCCGTAAAAACTAACACTAAGTTTTGAAAAAAATTGAAAGTCTAGGTACTAAAAGAAACAAAAATTGATAGTTTAGATACTAAACATGTTAATTTTTTAACGACAAGAGTACTAAAATAAAACAAAAACTAAACATTAGGTATGATTTTGAAAAAATGAAAGCTTAAGTATTAAAATGGGCTAAAACTGATAATTTAATTACTAAGTGCATAATTTGCCCTAATATTTATTACTGATTTAAAAATAAAAATACTTTTATACTTTTTCAAATAAATTGATAAAAAACTATTAATATATAATATAGACGAATACAAGAGTAAATTACACGTTTATTACCCAAATTAATAGTTTTAGTCCATTTTAGTACATAAACTTTCAATTTTTTCAAAATCATACTTAAAGTTTAGTTTTTGTTTCGTTTTTGTTTCGTTTTAGTACCTATGTTCAAAATTTAACGTTAAGTTGTGAAAAAATTGAAAGTTTAGGTACTAAAATAGATCAGAATGGATAGTTTAGGTACTAAGCGTGTTATGTTTTTAACGGTGGGTTACTAAAATGAAACAAAAACTAAATGTTAGGTATGATTTTGAAAAAATTGGAAATTTATGTACTAAAACAGACAAAACTGATAGTTTAGATACTAAATGCATAGTTTACCCTAGATATAAATATAAAAACTGTGACTGATTAATTGTCCTACTTAAATTTAATTTAATCTAATTTAAATTTTAACGAATCTTTAATTTTTAAAAAAAAGTAATAATCCAATTCAATCGAGCAACAAAATTAATCCTTATTTTAATAATTTTAAATGATGATTTTAAATAATTTTAAAAAATTTCAGACAAATGTCCCGCAAATTAAGCCCAAAACCCGCCAAGCAGCAAAATAAAATTTTATTTATTATTACTATTACTGATTTCTTTCTCATTTGAAATATTTTCCTTTTCCCAGCAAACAATAGCGGCGGAAGAAGATATACCATCTACGATGTCTCAGGGCGGCGGCGACGGATGCATGGAGTTTAATCTGCCGGAAGAGATTCTGGCGGTGATTCCGACGGATCCTTACGAGCAGTTGGATCTGGCGCGTAAGATAACGTCGATGGCAATCGCATCGAGAGTGTCGAACATGGAAACGGAGATGGGGAGGATGAGGGCGAAGGTTTACGAGAAAGACCGTATCATTTGCGAACTGGAAGAGAAAGTATCAAGGTTGCATCAAGTGAATCACGATGCCGAATCTCGATTAAAGATGCTTATTGACGAGAATGTCTGTTTCTTCTCTTGTGTTTTAATTTCCTATATCTTGTTCTGGCATTTTTGGTTGTTTTTGACAGAATTTGAACTGCGGTTTTTTAAAACTGACTAACTTGGTATTTTGTGCCTTTTTTCACCTTCCTTTATTACTAATTCTACTGTTATCTCCTCGGAACAATCAACACTTATACTGCTTAGTAGAAATTCTGCTCGAGGGATTTTTATAATTTTGTTTCTGAATTTCTGTGGTTGCTGACTACTTTTGTGGACATTTATATAAAATTTTAGGGTTTTAGTGTTCGTGATTTTGATATTTGTATTTAATTACAGATGAAGCTTTCAAATGAGCGTGACTCATTGGCAGTTACTACAAAGAAACTTAGCCGTGATTTAACTAAGGTGAGATTGAAATTCTAAATGTATTTTTACTCAATTCACTTATTCAAGTAAGTTTAGTTTTATTTATTTTATAGAGATGGATTACATGTTACAATACTACTTATTAAGGAAATTTGGTGAGTGGATGACTTTATCAAGGTTCATAGTGTTTAATATCATTAACAACTTTGAGCTTCACAAATGGAGTTATGCTCAACAAAGTGCCTCTGAATGAGAAGTCACTGTTAAATTTGTTGGTTCTTTTAATTGCTTCTAACAATATGGTTTGCTGATAAAGCAGCTTAAGTTAGTGTTTTAATAGCATTGACCTCTGCTTTTGAGGTTTTCTGGCTCATAATCATTTACATTCATATGTTTTCGAATTTGAAATATGAAGAATAAAGCATGAAATGTTCTAATATTTGACAGTTGGAGACTTTCAAGCGGCAACTGATGCAATCCCTGAATGATGATAATTCCTCTGTAAGATTTGTGTATTTAGCCGTTCTTGTTGTTGCTTTTTATGATTCAAGTATATTTCTGTTGTTTGCAATGGAAATTTGGTTTTGCTTTATCTGCACTTATATTTTCACTGTTCAGCTTCTGTTGTTCAGATGCTTGAAGAAACCGATTTCTTTTAACCTATTATTCAATCCCTTTTTAATAGCAGGCTGAAACAGTTGATATTGGGACCAGTGACCAGTCAGTCCCTAAAGCCTATCCGAACAACGGTATCATAAAGCTTCACTTATTGTTCTTTTTTCTTCTGTATTTTCCTCCTCATTCATTTGTAATTTCTCACTTCCGAAATTCAACAGTAGCCTGTTCCACATTCCCTTTTATTTTTTGATCAATGTTATATATCTCTTGCCACAGATGATGGGGTGAAGAGCTACATGCCACTTCGTTCCTCCAATGGTTCGATGGACTTGGGAAGCAGCACAACTGATGAAGGTAAATGGATAAATTTCTCTCATTTTTATTCCTTGTTTTGAGTACTTTTTACGTCTTGTTGGAGCTTAAAGAATCAGCATTTCATGCTTGATATACATCCTTTCATAAAATTAGAGGTAAAACAAAATAGATATATTGGCGCATATTTTAATGAATAATGATTAGAGTTATCGTAAACCTTGAAAATGTAAAGTACATAAATAATTGTTTTGTATTGACAAAATATAATTTGACAAAGTTTTGCGGCTGTTATAAGTTATTTGACAATTTTGTTACTTTTTTCCAAATAATGTGGCAAGTCTCTTATACTTTCATGAGTTTATACAGATATAGATGTTATGAAGGAAAATAACAGTATGCATAGATGTTGTAATGGAAGATAGAAATATCAATTTTCTTCTCACTTTGTACTCTTTTTCTTCCAGAAATGGTAAAGAAAGGAATTAGTAGTTTGGAAAATCCTCCAAAACATAAGAAAACTCATTTTGATATGGATTTTAAGTTGATTCCTGCTCAACAGCTTCAAGATATGCTGGACAAAGATTTTCTATAACTCCATATATCACACCGCGGCTTACTCCTACCGGAACTCCGAAAATTATATCCACAAATGGGTCTCCTAGGGGCTATTCTGCTGCCGGGTCTCCCCAGATAACCTCCAGCGCAACCTCTCCTACAAAGTCTCAATCTGATGGGCGGACTTCGTTCTCCTCGTGGTACCCTTCAAGCCAACAATCATCTGCAGCTAACTCTCCTCCTAGTGGGCGTTCACTTCCAGGTTTTACTAGTGTTGTTATTCTAATAGATTAACTCATTTTGTTTTTCTGCATCATCCTCTGTTCATCTGACCCTGTTTTTCTTGTATTTTATGATATGTTTAGGAAGGACTCCTCGAATTGATGGAAAGGAATTCTTTCGTCAAGCCAGGTAGATTTGTTTAAATTCTTTTGTTCTCTTTCTCTCCATCTTCATTTGTTATACTTACGGTAGACTCCAAATATATATTGAATTATGATCCCGAAA